CAGCTTTCCAATATACACTTTACAATTGAAAACTTTATTAAAAACTTGGATAAATTATGTTGTTCAGAGCATGGCAAACTAAAGTTTCTATGAACTTTAAGTTGGAAAAACATCAGTTGCCATTCCTGATGCTGTCTTATGTTCTTTAATAATGTAAGCTAAAATAGAAGGATGTATTGCTCTTGTAAAGAGACTATTAGTCCTTAGTCTGAAATAGCCCAAACTTTCTGCAAAAGCCTGTTCTTTTATAGGGATTTTGGGGGAATATATATGTGTGTGTGTGTGTGTATATATATATATATATATATATATATATATATATATGGAGATATACCTATCTCATAGAAATGGAAGGGACCCTGAAAGGTCATCGAGTCCAGCCCGCTGCCTTCACTAGCAGGACCAAGTACTGATTTTTGCCCCAGATCCCTAAGTGGCCCCCTCAAGGATTGAACTCGCAACCCTAGGTTTAGCAGGCCAATGCTCAAACCACTCAGCTATCCTCCCCAAAGTTGATGGTACGTTCTCAGATGCCAAGAATGGGTAGGAAGAAGCTTTCTCTTTGTTCTTATTTACTGGTTGGCTGACTTTATCTGTTACTGTTTGATTGTTTACTGTCTCTTGACATTTTACTCCTCTTTAATCCTGTTATCTTCTTGGGAAGTGACCATATGGAGTAATGCCCAGCTCAGGGCTGCTAGAGAGCATAATTGTATAATAAAGCTAAAGCTTAGAAGTTAAAAGAAATGCTGGTAGAAATTATGGCTAACACTAACAGGAACTCTTACACGCTAAGTAGTTTTTCATCATGCATTAAAATAATCACATCAAAATACATGTAAAATAAATCGTTCATTATAGGAAGTATATAATGGAATGGGGCAATTTAATTTTAAGACAGAAAATAGTAAAAGATCAACATGTGTGCAGTGTTCTTCTCTAACAACAAAGTTACGCAAAGTAGAGTTCGAGGAATGAATGTGTAAGTTTATAGTTACATAATTTATAATTTTCAAAAGTTATTTGTGCAATCACTGAGCTATTTCAGAATTAAGAATCTGGCTTGTTGCAAATATTTATAGCGTCATTTGGCAAAAGAATTTGCTTTAATTTGAGATATCTTGAGTTATATATCCAAAGCTACACTGAGGAATTAAAGTGAAAGATCTTGTTTTAAAGCTGCCTGCATTTCAACAAACAGGCTGAAAACTCCATTTAAAGCTTAAAGCCTCAGTTTAATATTAAATATTAGAAACATGGACATGAAATATATCAGCACAGTAAATATTTACAAATATATAAACCATAACAATATGTGCACATTTTTCTTTATAGCTGATAGTTATATATCTTTCCCAATAAAGAATTGTGTACAGTCAACATGGTTATTCTGTTGGATACAGATAAATTGATCTCTAAATGAAAAATTGATGGTTCCTAGGTGGAAGTGATCACAATCTAATTTCATTTTCTGTGAGCAAATAGAATATAGTCCTACATTTGGTGCTTAAGGCCAAATTTCCACAGGTGAAATTATGAGCAAAATTCAATGAGAGGAAATATTTAAACATAAAAATGTGAATGATAATTGGAAATTAAAAATGATTAATTAAATATCCAAAAACCCCATAGTTCTTAAGTCTTTGATTAAAAAATAAATCCTGATTAAGATGGAATGTCAGGGCAGCGACAATTAATTTTAAAAAATTATATATATACCAAATGGGAAAATAAGGATGCTGATAGCAGTGAGTACAAATCAGCAGTTAGAAATGCTTACAGTTAGTAAGGGAAGCTAAAGATATCAGTGAAAAATCAGTGGCCAGTACGATTAACAACAATAAGGAGGAATTATTTAAATAGATTGGGAACAAACAAAATCCTAGCAGTGGTATAGGTCTGATACTAGACTCAATCCTGATGCAAAAAATGCATAATTATTCAACAAATATTTCTGTTCTGAGCTCAGAAGGAGGAGGATGTGTTCATATATTATAGTGGTAAGGAAATGCTTTCTATTCTGTCAGTCATTAAGGACAATATTAAATTTAGATTGTAAGCTCTTTGGGGCAGGGGACTGTCTTTTTATTCTATATTTGTACCGCTCCTGGTCCATGACTGGGCTCTTATGCACTATGGTGATACAAACAATAAATAATAATAAAGTAACTGTTAAACATTTTTAAATCCACAAGACTGGATAACTTACACTGATGATTATTAAGAAAATTGGCTGAGGAGCTCTCTGAACACTTAAAGTTGATTTTTTTTTTTAAACAAATCTTGGAACAATCATGAAGTTCTGGAGGACTGGATAAAAGCCAGTGTTGTGCCAATTTAAAAGGGAAATTGGGATGCTCCAAGAAATTTTTAGTCTGGTTAGCCTGCCTTCCGTCCTAGGAAACATCATAGAAAGGCTGGTATGGAATGCTCTCAGTACAGAATTAAAAGATAGTAATGTTAATGCCATATTGATGAATGCCAATACCCAATCAACATGGGTTTATGGAAAGCACACTCTTTGTGGACATAATATACTTATACTTCTGTACGCATTTCGCTTTGTCCTCCATAACATTCTTATGTATATATATAAAATAATTAGCATAATATATATAAAATAATTAGCATAATACAAAATCAGTGTGGTGCATATTAAATAGATTTCAAATTTCTTAACTAATTGATCTCAAAAAGTAATTATAAATGGAGAGTAGTCATCCAGTAGTGATGTTTGTGGTGGGGTCCTAGAGGTATCTGTTCTTGGCCCATGGTATTTAATATTTTTATCTATGATCTGGAATAAAATATAAAATCAGTGCTGGTAAAATCTGTAGATGATACAAACATGGGTAGAGTGGTAAATATTGATGGGGCCACGTCATTATACTGACCAACCTGGATCAGTTAATAAGGTGGGCTTATTTGAACAACATGCATTTTAACAAAGCCAAATGGAAGTCCAGGAACAAAGAATGTAGGTCACACTTTTGGGAATGTACCCTTGTAAAGAGTGACTGAAAAGGTCTTGGGTCACAGCAGATAACCAATTGAACATGCAATGTGGTAATTATGACCCTTGGATGTAGCAGAAAAAGGCATTATGTGATCCAGTGGTTGGAAGCTGAAGCTGAAAAATTCAGACTAGAAATATGGTATAATGAACCTTCTCATCAACTTACAGGGGTGCTTCCCAAGGGGTACCCAGGGTTGTGAAGCACCTTACTAGCATCTGCCTTTAGTGTGAGGAAGCCTTCTCTGTGCCTGCTAGGGTTCTGCTCCCCATCTCCACAAGCCACTGGCAACATGAGCAGTCCCCTTTAGGCTACACAGGCCCAGCTGTCTCTCTACAAGTTAGCAGCAGGCACACTTCAACTCCCAAGCTGTCTGAGCATCACACTGGAGTGTCCAGTCCCTGATCCACTGGACACTCACAGATTCGCTGCTTCCAAAGAAACAGTATACCCCAGCTTACCCGTTCCACCTCAGATAACCGCTCCGCTTAACACAGAGCACTTTGGTTTGCTTAATACAGGTTTATTTAACAAAGCGTAGAGATTCAAGTAATAGCAAGTAGAAGTATTGGAAACAAATGGTTATCTATTAAATAAAATCATAACTTGCATTCTAGAGCCTAGACTTAATTAACAAAATACTCTCATGTCTAGTAAAGTATTTCTCACCAGCGCTTCACAGACAGGCTGTCTGTGGCCCTTTTTTCATGGGACAGCCACACTTTTAGCTTGCCTCCTGGGTGAAGGATAACATCTTGTCCCCTGTCCACTTTTTTTATGCAGTTACAGGCTATTGTCTCTTAACCCTCTTCCAAGACTTATCTTGGGGTTCCTTTGTCGTTGTAAACAGTCCGGTTAGTAAACATAGCCTGTCTCCATGGATGTCCATTTTTCTGTATGTTGATTGAGTTAGCCGAGAGACTTGCCTTGACTCAGGTGACAAGCTGTACCTCAACAGGGTTGGAACCTAATATTTTACATTTTACATCTCTCTTAAAGTATTTCCCTTAGAAACATCTTGCAATAATTATGACAACCAGTGGGCTACTGGCCCTTGCTAGAGATCTCATATGCCACCCTTTTGTGAACTGCTATGAAGATATCAGACCCTGGTGATCTATGCAAAACCCTATGGACCCCAGAGCCTCTGCCTGTTGTCACCTGGAAGTCCCTGGGTCACACTTATGTAGGGATGTTATGGATTCTCCATCACTTGAAGTCTTTAAATCAGGATTGGATCTCTTCTTAAAAGATATGCTATAGTTCAACCTAAAGTTATGAACTTACTTTAAAAATCACTGAGGTTTTTTGCCCAGTGTAATGAAGGAACTCAGACTAGTTGATCATAATCCCTTCTAGCCTTAAAATGCATGAATTTATGTGAAGTGTCACCAGAGAAGTGATAAGATTCCCCCAAATAGACCATGCATTAGAATTGCCAACCCCATGCATTCAAAAATCATGAGTCCGGCTTCAGAAAATTGAGAGATTAGCTTTAAAAATAATGAGATTTAAGACAAATATTTGTGGTTCTTCTAATTTAATTTTTGGTGTTTGAGCCTTTAGGTTGTACTCAGGTCATATTTTCAACCTTTTCCTCCACAGTCACAAGTTCTAGGAACTTACTTTTCTTTTTAACGAAAGCTAAGGTTTTCACTTACTCACTTGGCTCCAGGGTTGTGGCTTTAAATAAAACACCAAGCATCATGAGACTTGTGATTAAGCTGTTCTATCCATATCTATCTTAATTGACTTATTTGAGAGCAACTACTATGACTCAGTACAGGGCCAACCAAAAATTCTGCATTCAGTAAAAAATTACAATAATTCAGTAGTCCTGTTTTATAAAGATATTCAAAACCAAAAAAGTAATTTAAAATGGACTCTTCTGAGTGACTTGTTTATTGGAAAATATGAGGTTTCTTCAGACTCGTCTGTTTTGTGCCTGCCAGTCCTCTATACTTAATGATTTTTTTCTGAATTTAGAGCTCTCTTTGACTACGACAAGACTAAAGACAGTGGCCTTCCCAGTCAGGGACTGAACTTCAAATTTGGCGACATCCTCCATGTCATTAATGCTTCTGATGATGAGTGGTGGCAGGCACGGCAGGTGACACCAGATGGAGAAAGTGATGAAACTGGAGTGATTCCGAGCAAACGGAGGTATATTTCATGGTATTTGTTCAGTCTGAGATATTTGCCATTGAAATAGTGGTTGTATTCATGCACAAATTAAGTAGTGTGTCATGTCAATTTAATGGTCCCTCATCCGCTCCTCCAAAGTGTTTTTATGAGAAACTGGAAGAGTATGCCAGTCAGCACTACACTAGATTATTACATATTAGTAAGAGACATTTGCAGCCTCCGGGTTAAAGCACATGGCTGAAGACAGGAGACCTGGGTTCTATTCCCAACTCTCACTTTGTGAATGTCACTTAACCTCTTTGTGCTGCCGTTAAAAGTGGGTTTAATCGTGCTTCATTTCCCTTAACTGCTTTGACATCTACAAATTAAAAAGTAGAAAGTAATACTGTTTCTTATGGAGTTATTGGTCATGACTCCAGAGTTAGTCAAGTCAGAAGTTTTAAATTTAACAAGAGTTTAACGGTGTTGGGACTCGAAGGCCTGGGACAGACTGCCTGCTCTCTCCCTGAGCAGCCTTTTTATATGGCCGAGCCTGTCCCTGATTGGCTGTCTCCAATAAGCCCTTTTCCTACTGGCTCTTAGTCTGCGCAGGCCCACTGGCCTGCTGCAGCCCCCTCTAACATGGAAGTGGGGCAGATGCCCCACTACAAAGAGCTTTAAGCCTTTATTTTGTGAAAATCTCAATAAAATGACCAAAAAATGAAACATAGTAAACTTTGTGTACTATTTTAATTTTTCATGGTGGTTTGATGAAAATTGGGATGATACAGAAAAAAATAGTAATTCTAAATTGACCCTTTTTCAAAGTTTTTCTTACGATTTGTTTTTTGGGGGGTTGGGGAGGAGGGGAAGATATCCTTTGCAAGAAATGTATCACTCTGATATCTATGCAATGCTCAAAATGTTGCGCCTTGTGTGCTGAATAATACAATATAATTTATATTGAAGGTATTTATCTGTGACATGAGTTTTAACTTTTTCTCAATAACTGAAAAGAAATCAAGCGGCATCTGGTATATTTAGCAGTGATGATGTAACGTATCCACTTTGAGAGGGAAAGAGATGTCTGGAGGAAAGTTAATTGAGCTGGGAAACAGGCGCCCATGAGTTCAAAATCTCAGACAGTGTTTTTTTCCCATGCACCTCATCAATCTTATTATTTCCAAGACCCTTAACCCCAACCCTAGAAAGCAATTGTGTCACCCCATTGAGAGAGGTTACATAGAGTTGCTGTAGGCACAGTCAAGATTAGAACCCAATGGTGAAAATCCTGTCCATATTGAAATCAGTGGCAAAATTCCCATTGGCACCCATATGGCCCGGATTCCACGAGAGGCATCTAATATGGTAGACTCAAATCTTCTCTCTTAGGCCAAACTCCTTTTCAGATTATCCGATTTCTGACCACTAACCCACTATCTTCTCCCAGAGCCAAGGCTAGAAACCAGGATTCATGCTCTATAGTATGCTATGCTGTCTCCCAAGCAGTTGTGGCACCCAGTTGGAAGCTTTGTATCACACCCTCCCTCCTCTGATGGCTGAACTAAATACAGACTAGCAATTACTCCTGTAGCTCAAGTGCTAGAGAGCTGGCTGATGACTCAAGTGCAGGTGACTTTGTTTTTCAAGTTTTCTGTTTTAAAACAACTGGTTTATTTAATTCACACTATAAGAAAACATCCTGTAGCACACATTAGTAATTAAAGAATTATTATAATCTGTAAATAATGGCCTGCCACACCAAAATACAGGTGAAAAATACATTTGTATGACTAAAAAGAATATCCAAAGTTGTTGTTATCAATGCTAATGTAGATTTTGGAAGAGGTGTTAAATCTCAGCCTTCAGGGTTTAAGACAATATTTAACTAAAGGGATTAGAAGATCTAATACAGACTGTAGATTATCTCACATTTGCCTAAAGTGAGGTTTCTTGCACCCCTCTGGTTCTGGGTACTGTTAGAGGCGGGATAGTGGACAGATGAACCATGGTTCTGGTCCAATATGGCAAAACCTATATTGCTGTGTAGGTGTTTCACAATCCAGCCATTTGTCATTTTTGATGTTGGTATCTGCCTATTAAAATATATAACTTCTATGTATGAACGGGCATTTTTACTGTATTAGAAATTTGGGCCCTAGTCCTGCTGTTGAATTCATGTTGGTCCCATTGTAAGATTGGGGCTTTATTCTGTTTCACAGCTTCTTAGGTTGGAGGTTGGAGTCTTATAACAAATGTATCAGTCGGTTATGGAAGTGTGATCTTACATGGTTTTACTGAAAGAAATTAAAAAGAGGCCAGCCCAAATTGTGGGGCAGGAAGGCTAAGCCACATCCCATTTGAAATCACTGTACCTGTCAGCCACTGGCTACTTCTCCTTGTTGGAAGACAAGCAATGGCAAAGAGTGGGATTGGCCAGCAGGCAGTATAGGAGGCCCGTAAAAGGCAGTATGGGGCAGAAGCAGGCCTCTTCTTGCTCCATCCCACCCTCGCTATCCCTTTGGCTAATCATTTGAACAGCTACAGACAGGGTGGATGTGATTTAAATCAAATTGATTTAAATCATGCTTTAAATCACTAGTTAGGAAGACTCAATGTAATCATGGATTTCTACATAAAAGCGCATTCTTGCTGGTTAAAAAAACAACAAGGAATCCAGTGGCACCTTAAAGACTAACCGATTTATTTGGGCATAAGCTTTTGTCGGTAAAAAACCCACTTCTTCAGATGTATGGAGTGAAAATTACAAATGCAGGCATTATTATACTGACACATGAAGAGAAGGGAGTTACCTTACAAGTGGAGAACCAGTGTTGTCAGGGCCAATTCAATCAGGGTGGATGTAGTCTACTCCTAATAATTGATGAGGAGGTGTCAATACCAGGAGAGGGAAAGTTGCTTTTGTAGTGAGCCAGTCACTATTCAAGCCCAAATTAATGGTGTTACATTTGCAAATGAATTTTAGTTCTGCAGTTTCTCTTTGAAGTCTGTTTTTGAAGTTTTTTTGTTCAAGTATGACTACTTTTAAATCTGTTATAGAATGTCCAGGGAGATTGAAGTGTTCTCCTACTGGCTTTTGTATGTTACCATTCCTAATGTCCAATTTGCGTCCATTTATTCTTTTATATAGAGACTGTCCGGTTTGGCCAATGTACATGGCAGAGGGGCATTGCTGGCACATGATTCTTGTTGGTTGTTATAACCTCAATACTTCACAACTCAGAGATAGATGTAGGTTTCATTTTTAGAAGGTACACACTATACATTTTTAAAGTGATTTATTTTGAAAACTTTTCAGATTAGTTTTACAACTGTATCACAAAATGAATGATTGTTTGGTAATTTCATTTACCAAAGGTAATTGAAGCAGATAGTTCACCTCCCAATGACTTCATAAATATCTCCAATTCAACAGGTTAATCATTAATATTTGGAGGATTTTCTTGTCATGCTGTATTAAGAGGAGAACATCACCAGACAGACATTTAAATTGTTTTATTTAACTTAAACAACAGCATTATGTATTCTGGATTTTTTTCTTCAACAGCAGACAGAGAATATTTTAACAAAACAAGCACATGCATTTTTGAATTTAGTTAAACATTCATGGTTTTTTTAAAATCAGGTTTGTTTTTGTTCAAATTGCTTTTAACTAAAATAGTTAAATGAAATATTTTTTTAAAAAGCAAAAATTAAATCGACTATGTCAGCCAGGTCAACATGAGAAACTTAAAATATTGGCTTCTGCAGCTAATTCAGTCGTCTTCACCTTCATTTTCCTGTTTGTTCATAATCTGGAAAAGAAAAACAAGCTTTCCTGCTTTTTCAGGTCCCAAACGATTTCTCAATTTGGAATGAATTAGTCCAAAGGAAGAAAATATTCTTTCTGCACCGGCAGAAGAAGCTACTGCTGTTAAAATTAGATTATCACTTCAACAGTCTCTGAATCCAAATGCTTAAGTGACTTCCACCAGTTCACTGGTGTGACTTTCTTTGAAACATCATCAGCAAACATATATTTCTTGAATGGTTCACCCTTAGCTCTGAAGTTTAGGATAGTAGGCATTATGGAGGGATGATAGTTGGATGTCCATGTCGTAGCCAACTCCTCTTCTTCAGCAGTTAAGGTTTGACCCTGGTACCGAGTATTGAGAATATCTGCAAGAAAATGAGCTGGAGACAGTGCTTGTCCCATTCGTTTTTTTTAATGCTTGTAATTTAACTCTGTCATTGCATATTTCTCTTTTTAAGAGCTCACTCAGTTCCTTCCATATTTCAACAGCATCAGCAATAAAACAGCTATTTCCCTGCATTTTGTTCAAGGCTACAGAAACAGGCTTCAGGGTACTCAGCATGTGTTCAACATTTCTCTTAAGCCCAATGTTGAGAACTTTGGCTGTGACAGTGCCATTGATTTCTTCACGATTTTGTTCACAAACTGTCATCAATTAGCCCAGTTCTTGATATAGTGCTCAAAACAGTCCACTACTGAGTTCCATCGCACGTCTTGTGAGAGAGTTAGCTTGGTTCCTCCCACTTTTTTCAGAGCAGCTGCTGCAAAGTGGTTGTTACGGAAGTATTTTGCAATTTCAACAACATTAGCCTCTATTTCTGGAACACTGAAGTCTTTGGCTAGGAGGTGCATCAAATGAGCACTGCAACCGTATGTTATTAGCTTGGGACTCTCTTCTAAATAATTTCTTCTCATCTTGGATACATTTGCAGCATTGTCTGTGACCAAGCTGCATACTAGACATTTGAACTTTTTTTCACAGTTTGTTACAGCTTTTACTACTACTTCTTGTAAGTATTCCGCTGTGTGTGCATTTCCTAATGTATCAATTGTTTCTGTAAGGAAGACATTCCCGTCTTCTGTTGTCACACAAGCACATACAACAGGAGCATTGTAGACATTGCTCCACCCATCAAGACTCAGGTTAACAATTTCACCCTCTAGACCTTTTGCACACTGCTCAATTTCTTTCATACACTTTATCCAGCAATTTTCCTGCGACATCTGTACTGTATCCTGGGTGGACTGTATCCTGGTCTTAATGACTGAACCATGTTAAAGAAGTGTGGGTTCTCAATCATACGGAAAGGAGAGTTTGTTGCATAAACAAACCGGGCAATTTTTTCATCAATTATCTCTTTTTGTAATCTGCTTGTTCTTATCACAAACTTATCTATGGTTGTTTCTGGACGATGGAGATTTTTTTTTCTTTTTGCTACAGGTGATATACTGTGGCTATGTGACATACATGGTGTGACTGAAATACTATCATTGGCAGATAACTCTGAAACTATAGAAAATGATGGTGATCTTGAAGGTGGATAGTCTTCAGAATCCTGTATGTTGAGGATGGATTCTCCTAAACAAAATAAGTCAATGCAGTTATTTAATTATTATTACCATACTGCTCATTTAGGTATTACTCATTGCATTCATTGACAGTCAGTACTACTTTAAAGGTGAAATTGTAAAAGGAAGATCTGCCTTTTTCAGCTATTTCTTTTTTTATCACAACTATATTCTTTGCTCAAACATGAGAATTCAAGAATAGTCCAGAAGGAAGACAGGCAGTCCTTAAGAAAGAAGTATGAAATAAAAAAATTTACCAACCTGAAGATCCTGCATGTTCAGACATGTTCCTTTCATCATCTTCAACGCAGCTTCCTCCTGAGAAGGAACACTTCTCATGATGTTGTTTCATTCAGGCAACCAGGCCTTGCATTTCTTTGTTGCACCATTTGCATTTGACACGCATGCCTGTCTTACCCACAGGTAGAGGAACTTCATTAAAATATTCCCACACTGGGTTTCTCTTACGGCTTGCTGCTATTATAGATTTTCTCTTCTAGTGAGAGAATGGTATGGTAGATCTCAAATCAATGAAGGCTACACTCAGAAAGACCTCAAGACTTCTGGAATATGCTGCTCAAACAGTTTCACTTTTGTTTCTACTGCCTGTCCCTCCCTTCTCACATTTATCTCCAGACTTTTTCTCCTTGTCCAGATCTATTCCATCCCCAACAATCTTCTAATCAATGAACTTTTTTGAAACTTTGCACTTTTAGAAAGAGGTAAGGGATTGACTCTGTGTATACAAATTTGCAGAGGGACAATAGGGTTGAGGTCTGTTATTTCTCACCTCTATATAATATTTATCTATCTTAAAACATTTTTGCTGTTAACAAGCAGGTTATCTCTGGAGACCCAAATCCACAGTTTGAGAACTTCAAAGCTAAGCATCACTGAGTCCCATTGGGTAGATAGAAAGATTAACCTAAATAATATATACAGAAGCCACTGGAACCCCATAAGTATTGGTCCCTAATCCATGAACTACTGGAACTCATTTACAAAACTTTTCTTAAACATTACATGAATATATTGTCTCATACTATAGAATTAGAATTTATAATCCCTATTCCATGATGAGATATCTTTGAGCTATAATGTATCTTTATTAAAACAGTCTTTAAATAGGTTTTTTCCTCCAAAAATATTTTATAAAAAAAAATTAAATAAAAAAAAATCTGATTTTTTTTTTTAAAATCATTGATTTTTATCGACCCTGGCTATGGGCCTGAGTTAGTCCTGGGAAATAACAGGATGCTCTGGATTTGGGTATCAAAAGTGAAGGAAGGAAAGTGACAGCTCAGCATAGCTGTTGCTTTCCTTCATTTAGCTCTGTTGCCTGGACAGAGTGCCTTAAGTTTCCTTGTTTAAACTAAAGAATAATAAGAAAGTTGTGGCCTCATAGCCAAAAGATTCTAATTTGTCTCTGTCCTTATTGGATCCCTGCCATTCAGAATCTACAGCAGGGGTAGGCAACCTATGGCACATGTGCCGATTTTCAGTGGCACTCACACTGCCCGGGTCCTGGCCACCAGTCCAGGGGGCTCTGCATTTTAATTTAATTTTAAATGAAGCTTCTAAACATTTTGAAACCTTATTTACTTTACATACAACAATGGTTTAGTTATATATGATAAACTTCTAGAAAGAGACCTTCTAGAAAGGTTAAAATGTATTACTGGCACGCGAAACCTTAAATTAGAGTGAATAAATGAAGACTCGGCACACCACTTAAGGTTGCAGACCCCTGATCTACAGTATATTGTTTGAGAATTAAAATTAATTTTTCTCATATTGCCCTGTGCAGACTGAATATGTGTATGTGTGCACATCTCATCCCATCATGCTGCAAGCACATCTTCAACAGATGATTAGAATATGAAAGCTGTAGTATTTTATAGCATTAGGATTGGCAGTATAAGGATCACGTTGAGAGAGTAACATTTTTCCCTTTTGCATTTTTCATACAGGGTTGAGAAGAAAGAAAGAGCCCGCTTAAAGACAGTGAAATTTAATTCCAAAATGAGAGGAGATAAAGGGGTGAGTTTATGAAATGTTAATTATTTTTTTCATGAATATGGGTGGTAACATGCTTGAATGGCTTATGTATGTGGATTTAACTTTACTTATTTAATTATAACAGTTAAAAATTAAAACGTCTGTCAGACAAAACCAGTTCATTCTAAAAATTATAATTTAACAAATGGTAATTTTTAGGGCTGTCAAGCGATTAAAAAATTAATCGCACGATTAATTGCACTGTTAGTAATAGAAAACCATTTATTTAAATATTTTTGGATGTTTTCTACATTTTCAAATATATTGATTTCAATTACAACACAGAATACAAAGTGTACAGTGCTCACATTATATTTATTTTTGATTACAAGTATTTGCACAGTAAAAAAAACCAAAGAAATAGTATTTTTCAATTCACCTAATACAAGTACTGTAATGCAATCTCTTTATCATGAAAGTTGAACTTACAAATGTAGAATTATGTACAAAAAAACCTGCATTCAAAAATAAAACAATGTAAAATTTTAGCGCCTGCAAGTCCACTCAGTCCTACTTCTTGTTCAGTCAATCATTCAGACAAACAAGTTTGTTTACATTTGCAGGAAATAATGCTGCCTGCTTCTTGTTTACAATGTCACCTGAAAATGAGAACAGGCGTTCTCGTGGCACTGTTGTAGCTGGTGTCGCAAGATATTCATAGATTCATAGATTCTAGGACTGGAAGGGACCTCGAGAGGTCATCGAGTCCAGTCCCCTGCCCTCATGGCAGGACCAAATACTGTCTAGACCATCCCTGATAGACATTTATCTAACCTACTCTTAAATATCTCCAGAGATGGAGATTCCACAACCTCCCTAGGCAATTTATTCCAGTGTTTAACCACCCTGACAGTTAGGAACCTTTTCCTAATGGGGGGAGGGATAGCTCAGTGGTTTGAGCATTGGCCTGCTAAACCCAGGGTTGTGAGTTCAATCCTTGAGGGGGCCACTTAGGGATCTGGGGCAAAATCAGTACTTGGTCCTGCTAGTGAAGGCAGGGGGCTGGACTCAATGACCTTTCAAGGTCCCTTCCAGTTCTAGGAGATAGGATATCTCCATTAATTTATTTATATAACCTAAACCTCCCTTGCTGCAGTTTAAGCCCATTGCTTCTTGTTCTATCCTTAGAGGCTAAGGTGAACAAGTTTTCTCCCTCCTCCTTATGACACCCTTTTAGATACCTGAAAACTGCTATCATGTCCCCTCTCAGTCTTCTCTTTTCCAAACTAAACAAACCCAATTCTTTCAGCCTTCCTTCATAGGTCATGTTCTCAAGACCTTTAATCATTCTTGTTGTTCTTCTCTGGACCCTCTCCAATTTCTCCACATCGTTCTTGAAATGCGGTGCCCAGAACTGGACACAATACTCCAGTTGAGGCCTAACCAGCGCAGAGTAGAGCGGAAGAATGACTTCTCGTGTCTTGCTCACAACACACATGTTAATACATCCCAGAATCATGTTTGCTTTTTTTGCAACAGCATCACACTGTTGACTCATATTTAGCTTGTGGTCCACTATAACCCCTAGATCCCTTTCTGCGGTACTCCTTCCTAGACAGTCTCTTCCCATTCTGTATGTGTGAAACTGATTGTTCCTTCCTAAGTGGAGCACTTTGCATTTGTTTTTGTTAAACTTCATCCTGTTTACCTCAGACCATTTCTCCAATTTGTCCAGATCATTTTGAATTATGACCCTGTCCTCCAAAGCAGTTGCAATCCCTCCCAGTTTGGTATCATCTGCAAACTTAATAAGCATGCCAGATGCACTAAAGATTCACATGTCCCTTCATGCTTCAACCACCATTGCAGAAGACATGCGTCCATGCTGATGATGGCTTCTGCTCGATAACAATCCAAAGCAGTGCGGACTGACGCATATTCATTTTTGTTATCTGAGTCAGATGCCACCAGCAGAAGGTTGACTTTCTTTTTCGGTGGTTCGAATTCTGTAGTTTCCGATTCCGAGTGTTGCTCTTTTAAGACTTCTGAAAGCATTCTCCACACCTCGTCCCTCTCAGATTTTGGATGGCACTTCAGATTCTTAAACCTTGGGTCGAGTGCATTGGTACCTTCTTTGCGTTTTGTCAAATATGGAGTGAAAGTGTTCTTAAAATAAACAATATGTGCTGGGTCATTATCCGAGACTGCTATAACAGGAAATATATGGCAGAATGTGGGTAAAACAGAGCAGGGGACATACAATTCTTCCCCAAGGAGTTCAGTCAGAAATTTAATTAACGCTTATTTTTTTAATGAGCGTCATCAGCGAGGAAGCATGTCCTCTGGAATGGTGGCTGTAGCATGAAGAGGCATACGAATGGCTAGCATATCTGGCATGTAAATACCTTGCAATTCCGGCTGCAAAAGTGACATGCCAAATCCCTGTTCTCACTTTTGTGTGTCGTAAATAAGAATAGGGCAGCATTATCACCTGTAAATGTAAACAAACTTGTTTGTCTTACTGATTGGCTGAACAAGAAGTAGGACTGAGTGGACTTGTAGGCTCTGAAGTTTTACGTTGTTTTGTTTTTGAGTGCACTCATGTAACAAAAAAAATCTACATTTGTAAGTTGTACTTTCACGACAAAAAGATTGCGCTACAGTACTTGTATGAAGTGAATTGAAAAATACTATTTCTTTTGTTTATAATTGTAAGCAAAAATAATATACACTTTTATTTCAGTTATAACACAGAATACAATATATATGAAAATGTAGAAAAACATCCACAACATTTAATAAGTTTCAATTGGTATTTTATTATTTAATAGTGCAATTAAAACTGCAGCTAATAGCGATTTAATCGCGTGAGTTAACTATGATTAATCGACAACTCTAGTAATTTTATAAACAAGTCTGATTCAGTTTTGCCAGTGTTCCCAAATGTGTCTGAAAAACTAGGTTAGGAGTGAATGTTGTTGTTAATATAATATTCAGAGAGAGCCATAAATAGAAATGGTCCTATATGGTGATAGATTAATGCCAAAAAAAAAAAAATCATGTAGTATTTGAAAGCTATGGGTCTTTAATGGGACCAGAGCCTTAATGGTCTTTTTTGGAGGAGAGAGTGACTTTGCTCCTTCATTTTAAACAGTGGCTACCCTATACAGTATTTTTTTAATAATGAAGAAGTCTAAAGAGTTTTTGTCAGTAGATCTGTCTGAGGATAATAAACCTACATTTTGAGTCACTTAAGGACTATGTGAGAGAGATTCTCGTTGTCAGTTAACAAAAACTCTAGGTTAACATTTATTGATTCATTTGTTATTGGTTCATCAGAAACTGAAGGGCAGTTTATGCATGTCAAAAACTGTTTTAGAGGAAAAAATGGTAAAAATTCACCCTGAGGTAATATTTAGGAAACTAATATTTCACCAAATTATTACAAATGCTCAGAAAACAGAATTGTAATGCATGACCGTCCAAAATAGTCTCAGGAAAAATCTGTTACTACCATGTTTAAGATAGCCTCACCATTTTTCAAATTTTAGAATATAATTGTATTCTGCAATGATTTAGATCATTTTGAGCCCTGAGTGAATCATAGAATTGTAAAACTGGAAGGAACTACAAGAGGTCATGTAGTCCAGTCCTCTGCACTCATGGCAGGACTAAGTATTATCTAGACCATCCCTGACAGGTGTTTGTCTAACCTGCTTTTAAAAACCTCCAATGATGGAGATTCCACAACCTCCCTAGGTAATTTATTCCAGTGCTTAACCACCCTGACAGAAAGTTTTCCCTAACGTCCAACCTAAACCACCCTTGCTGCAATTTAAGCCCATTGCTTCTTGTCCTATTCTTAGTGGTTAAGGAGAACAATTTTTCTCCCTCCTTCTTGTAACAACCTTTTATGTACTTGAAAACTGCTGTTATGTCCCCTCCTAGTCTCCTCTTCTTGAGACTAATCAAACCCTACTTTTTCAGTCTTCCCTCATAGATCATGTTTTCTAGACCTTTAATCATTTTTGTTGCTGGACTTTCTCCAATTTGTCCATATCTTTCCTAAATACTCCAGTTTTAGTCAAATCAAACCCCTTAAAATAGGGATTGTAACAGATGTTTCCAGATCTTCTACAACTACTGATATGCTAATAAGCATAGCTAAAATACATGTTCAGTTTAAGGACTTACCTAAATTACTAATGTGTTGACATTTTAGCCAAAATATGCTTTATAATTCTTTGGAAATAAATACTCTAGTTATTTATTATAATCATTTTAAAAGTGGAGAGCGCTAATGCAGTAATATCCAGAGTAGGCTACTGCTATAGATCCCAAAGATTTCTTTTTAATTGTGTTTACTTAGTAAGTTAGATATTATGATTTGTATAAATTCACAGAATCAAATTGAAGGGACAAAGTAATAAGAATATGAATATATAGTCCTGATAAAATAGGACTTATCTTTATTGGAGCAACTTCTGCTTTCTTTTACTACATGGTTCCTGTCAGCAGATGCAATGTGCCTTTCATTGGTATTTGTAAGATAGCTTGGTGTACTGTTAGGCATATCTTCAACTGAGCAACCTCAAAAGAATTTTGTTTAATCAGTGCTTTCAACAGAGCAGTTTAAACAGTGCCTGTTTGGGTACCTGCTTACTAGATAATGCATGCTATGCCCATGTTACATATTGAAAGTTTTAATTAGTTGTATTAATAGTAAAATGCACTTAAATGTGTATTTGCATTTTTGCACATACTCTGTTTTAGATGGAAACAAATACCTTTAGTGACTTTCTGACGGCCAAATTTAATACTGCCTTGAGACTTACTCTGATCATTATTTATATTTTTTCAGTTTGTACATGCAAAATTACGTATTGGAATATTATACCATGCCAACTGAGGGTGCAGTAATTTTTATATATTTTGAATTTACTCTTTAATTTTATAGCATTTAACATTTTACCATAGAGGAGATTACTTTTTTTTACAGTGATAAAGTTATACGTTAATTTTCAAGTTTTTCACATTACTTGTAACTGACATCCGCAACCTGTGATAGTTGCAAAAGGAACATTTTTAGACATTTAAATATTTGTAGTGATTGTTTTTAATTGAATTAGAATAATTTTGCAAAACATTACCATACAGCATATTCCTTGAGAAGATAATCGCATGTTTTTGTAACTTGTCTACCATAAAATTGTAAACAGTTAACTGAATTAACTGTGTATTTAAATCATAGTCTTGTATGTTGACTGTAACAAAGTTCGTACACAGTCACTGTGTACTAACACAGCACCAAAAATATGCATGAAATACTGAGTGGAAAAACAAACTACGCTTGCCATTGATAGAGAACTGCATTTCTTTCTCTATAATAACGTTTCCTGTTCCAAGCACTCATTAATCTTAAACTGTTCATAGTCTTTTGCTTCAGCTGAAAATTTTAATATTTCAGTTTCTCTTTAAAATACACTTAGTACCTCACTGTAATTGTCATTGGGTATTTTCCCCCAATGTAACTGTATGAAAGATATCTACCTGCAGTATTTCACGTATGTATTATATTATACTACTTTGACATGTATCAAGAATTCTTATTTAAAGGATTCTATGTGATGATAAAGTAAATATTGCAGCTCTAAATATAATATTAATGAGAGAAAACATTAAAATGCCAATTCCATTTATTCTAAGGAAAACTGAGAAACTGGAGCTTGCATGATTATCATGTTTCTTGTCTATTCTTTTAATATACACATTTATCTCATTTTGCTTGTGCTTCTTCTGTGTTTAACAAATTCTTTCTTGTGTAATCTATCCATAATTTGCAATGGGTTTATGAAATATTTATAAAATTAATGTGCCTACGACTAATAAGCAATTCTCTCTAGCCTTTATAATCATATCTTTTTTTTAAATCATCTTTTGGCTAATGTTTTATTTAAAATCAGTACATTATTACTATTTATTTTGCAATGAAACTGACTCTGACCATTATACATGCAGTATATGAAATTATTGTTAAATGGTTTTAAGTCAATAAAATTTACTGTAGAGGAAGTCAAATCAAAGATTAGTTTTATCAAATATTTTTAAAAGGTAGCTAAACAAAAATGAGTATTCTACCAGAAGTGCATTAAAAGCACCACTGCGTTGTTCTAATTGTCAAAAATAGCTAAATCTTTCTGCCTTATTTGACTTGCACCAAAATTTTGTCAGAGCTTTCCATAATGTTCTTCTTTTGAAGTTGAGACATTTTGTCTGACTTATGCTCCATGGTGGCCTTTCCCTCGTGCTGCAGTTGTATTTGTTATGTGAGACCTCCGTTTGTGGAAATCCATGTTACATACATGTTGTGAGAGCTAGGGTTAATTTCAATTTTAAGAATGATTGATGGACCTCTGTGCTGAAGTAGCAATGACTTGCTGCCATCAGCTTAGATACTGAAGCTCAAGAGGATCATAGCCCAGAATCCTGCCCATACCACCTGTAGTTCATGCAAACATATGATTGGTTAGGTGCCAGTTCTTGTGCCCATATGTCAGGATGATACTTCTCACAGCTGAATACTAGTTTTCCTAGTCACTGATGCGAACCAATTAAGGGCTTTTATGAACTTCCTACTTAATATTTTTAGTGTTGTTTTTTCCAGAACTCTCCCTTCTCTGACAGGCCTTATTGTGCTCCACTGGTACCATATGCCTTTTTTGCACTTGGTAATATTTAAATAACAAAATACATTATTTTAACAGCGGCAGTGGTGACATCAGTTCATCCTCCAGCATCTGACACTGCTAAACAAGTCTGTGTTAAAGCAGATGGCCGGAAAGGCTGTGAACATTGTAGTAGAGTGCAAACTACATGATACACTGCAGGCATTCACTGAATAAATGCCAAGTTTATCATTGTGCTGGTTGTGCACTAGCCCTGAAAAAAGAGCACAGCAAGTCAAAGAAGCACAGCGCTGCCTGACCCCCTAATTGCTGCTATATCTCCTTCCACATGGTGTAATGGTAGGGAAGAAAAAAGCATTTTGTACATGTTTCTTCCAATAAGGCTTACCTTCATCTGGATCATATTGTGATTAAGGGAGGGTATGATCAAACTGGATAAAATATGATGGACAAAACATATTGCAGTTATGCTGTAGATTCTAGAATAACTATTAATAGAATCCTTATAGCATGAACTGAAAACCAGTACTTTCTTTTGAAGAATTTACTTTGAAAAATGGCTCTGTAGAAATGGCATGGCATTGTGTTGCTCCATGCTTCTGGCACAGTTTCCATATCACATGTTTTTAATTTAGAAATAAACTCTGCAAACTCAGCCACTCCTTTCACAGCATCACCAGTAACAGAAGTTCTGCAGGCCAGATGAAGTACACTGACTGACTGCTTATTAAACAAGTCACGTAATGATACAGGGAGCAGTTGTGCACAGTAAGAAGGTTCCATTTCAATATAGTCACTTTCCAGAATAGAACTACGCTGTAAGGATGGGAGGCTTCCATCATATTTTCAGCAGTAGACATCACCAATTTTAGTTAAATCTATATTGCCATCTTCCACATACAATGTACATAAAGATGTATATTCATCTTATTTGTAAAGTAGCCTAGGATTGTAATAATAGCTTGAGCTCAAATGGAAAAAAAATTGTGAGTAAAAAAAAATCCTCACTAAATCAGGATAAAGCATCTGAGCTGTACAAATCCTTCAGCAACATCAATACCAGAATTCCTAATTCTTGCTGAATACCATCCTGAGCTTTGCAGTGTCTGATTTCTAAAATGTCAGTTCCACCTCTATGCCCCATCCCCACAATGCTGAAGAAAAATTAACAATCTGAACAAATGAAACAAGTATGTGTTAAGAATGGATCTTGGCACTGGGATGTGGACTTTCCCACTGCAATGTTCATTTCTTGCCATGAATTTGTGAGAAATTGCTGATGCAGAAGATTTAAGGAAAACGCAGAGATTTTTTTTTAAATGATGATGAATGTTTTAAGCGGACAAAACTATTGTTTTTGTAAAATTGTTATTTTCATCACTCTTTTTCCTGGAAGTAGTATCAGCATTTAATTATTTTGCTTTCATATACATTGGCTGTCATTCAAATATATAGTTGTGCCTTTACAAGCAGATAATGCTGTGAATACCTGGTTACCCCTGTACTAGCTAATATCTGTGACTTCCTCCGTTCTATTTATCAAATGGGTTTTACTTTTGATGGCTTTAGCAGCCTACTGGCTCTCACTTTTTTCTCTTCACAAAGGATCTGAATTATGAAGCATAAGGCTACAGATGATAAACCATGGATACCAGCTTTCCAATTCTTTCAGTAGTTAACATGCAAAATATGGAGAGTTTGAGCATAACCAAAAGCCCACTCTATTTCTGATGAGGTGGGGTGATGATGTTAAATTAAAATATAAACTGCATCATGTGGTTATAGGAGTCAGCTTCCACAAAGCTGCTGGGGCTGGGCCTTTGTACACACAGACATTAGACATCCTTTGTTTTGCCCCTCCTTCTCTTCTTCAGCAGTCATTCAATGACAAGCGTAAAAAGAACCTCTTTTCCCGAAAATTTCCCTTCTACAAGAACAAGGACCAGAGTGAGCAAGAAACCAGTGATATTGACCGTAAGTACGTGGAATCCAATGGAGAGAAAAACACACACACACACCAAAGGGCCTGCTAGCTTCCAGTAGGGTGTTACCTTGGAGACAGTTTCAAGAGCTGCAACAGGTTAATGGAACTCAAACAATGCGAATGACAAAACAGCCTTTTAAATCAATAAATTGATTCATGTGCTGTTACAGTACATCCTAACTGTTCTTGGAATCCAAGAGCAGCCTTGTTCATCGCAAACTGGATGGGACTGTGGGATGACGATTATGTGCGTAACTGGAGGTGATAACTAAGTTCTGTTACTCTGTTAATTGTACCTTATCAATAACTTCATAGAGAGTGCACTGCTGTAAAACTGTTACTCAGATTATAAATGAACTATAACCAGTCACTTTAGACTGGTTCTTGAAATTTTTCTATTTTAATCTTTAATTGTAATACTGTCCTAATTTTAAGGATGTTTCTTTTTAATTCTTTATTGCCTTCATTGCAAAAAAGTATTTTTGAAACAGAAATCTTATTTTTACAATAAAAATAAAGTTGATTGTTCAGATCTTTGCCTACTATAAACTCCCTCTGCCTTTTTCATCACTGATAACACTTCAGCTGCTAGCCATTTTAAATCCTAGGAGCTGACTGTGAAAAAAATTTCTGTAGATCTATGTCTCCCTGTAATGTTCTTGAAACTGTCTCTTATCGTAGCGCCAGTTTTATACATTACTGACAGTTATTTTTTTTTTTGTGATTATCTTTTTATTGCTTGCCCTCTGGGGACTACTCTACAGGAGATCCCTGACGACATGGGATCAAAAGGCCTGAGTAAGTGATCAAAATACTCCCAAGTTATATTTAACCTCCATCTGTAAACTTAATTTTTATAGATCCATTTTGAGACTGGTGGTATTGCTCTGCTGACATAAGGAGGTTAATTATTTCAAAGTGTTTTATAGAATTTTCTTAATTTGTAACATTCTTTGGTTTTATCTTTTAAGATCTTGCTACTTCATTTAATTTAGGTAACAACCACATTTTATTTTTGGTTTAGAAGTTTACCCAAATATACTCTATGTCACAGATAATGACTGCTCTCTCTGAACTAGTTAATGTAACTTTTCTAGTACGTCATTTTTATATTGGCTTTACCATTAATTTTTTTTTTAAATACAGTATTCTACAGTTATGATCCACACCACTGCAATAATGCATATTCCCTTCAGTTCTTTTAATCATTATTGTAGAATATTGTATTTTTAATGGCCGCTACTACTAAAATGCCTTTACATATTTTAAAATTAGCAGCAGTAAAAATAGCTTCATTTTCTCTTATGTGATGGAAAATGCATTCTGACAAAGATAAGATGGGGAGGAGGTTCTATCTGATCTATTTTGGCTTTTATGTGGTACTCACATAAGAATACTGATCATACAGTAAGGGGGTTATTATTAGGCACATGTCTTGAATAAGTATCACTTTCAGTTCCTACAAAGCCATGTCTGTTTTATTACATGAAGAATAATAGCATTGGGGATGTTAGATAAGTAATGCTGGATTAGTAATGGCCATGTTTTGAATAATTTAGTTTTGTAATTTAAATTATAGCAAGTTTTTAAAAACTACCAATTACTTCAGTAGACCTATCTATGTATAATTGTCTGGGTGTTCAGGCACCACTAGCATGATAATCCAGAAAAGGATGAAATTTGTGGGTAAAGTTAAAATTTACTAGCTTAGTTTTAAAATATTGGTGATCAAGACACACAAATTATCTCATACTTCTGGACTGGTAAGGCTCTGAGGCCACAGACAAAACATTCCGGTGAGTACTAACTTTCTATTCTACCGACCTATTAGAATTCTTTGAGGGGGTCAACAAACGTGGACAAGGGTGATACAGTGGATATAGTGTACTTGGACTTTCAGAAAGCTTTTAAGAAGGTCCCTCACCAAAGGCTCTTAAGCAAAGTAAGCAGTCATGGGATAAGAGGGAAGGTCCTCTCTTGGATCATTAACTGGTTAAAAGATAGGAATAAATGGTCAGTTTTCACAGTGGAGAGAGGTAAATAGCAAAGACCCCCAAGGATTTGTACTTGCACCGGTGTTGTTCAACATATTCATGAATAAGGCTGTGATTCTTTCATGGAAGTCACGGAAGTCATGGATTCCGTGACTTTCTGCGACTTCCATGACTTCCGCAGTGGCTAGTGCGGCTCACTTCAGGGCCACCCAAGCAACGGAGGGTGTGGCTGGTCCCAGGGATGGCCCAAGCAGCAGCCCCGGGGAGCATCTTAGCAGCGGTCCCCGGGGCAGCCACACCGGCCGCTGCTCGAGTGGCCCCAGGCAGCTAGCTCCAGGGACTGCCAGAACAGCAGCTGGTATGGCTGGCTCTGGGGAACTCCCAAGCAGCAGTTCTGGGGGTGTCCTGGGGACCGCCCAAGTAGAAGCGGTCCCAGGGCGGCTGGAGCAGCAGCATGGGGGGGCCGGACGGAGAGTGGTCCCCAGGAGCAGCAGCCGGTGGTCAGTCAACTCCCTGCTGTGGAGCAGGGGGCCCCCAGACCAGCAGGACCCCGGAAGTAGAGATTTAGTCAGGTATTTTTGGTTAGAGTCATGGACAGGTCATGGGCCGTGAATTTTTATTTATTGCCCGTGACCTGTCCATGACTTTTACCAAAAATACCCGTGACTAAATCTTAGGCTTATTCATAAATGATCTGAAAAAGGAGATAAACAGTGAGGTGGTAAAGTTTGCAGATGATACTATTACTGAAGATAGTTAAGTCCAAAGCTGACTGTGGGTGACTGGTCAACAGAATGGCAGATGAAATTCAATGTTGATAAATGCAAAGTAATGCACATTGGAAAACATAATCCCAATTATACATATAAAATGATAGGGTCTAAAATAACTGTTATCACTCAAAAAAGAGATGATCTAGTCATTGTGGATAGTTCTGTGTGCAGCAGCAGTCAAAAAAGCTACCAGAATGTTAGGAACCATTAGGAAAGGGATAGATAAAAAGAATAAGAAAATATAATAATGCCACTATATAAATCCATGGTACACCCATTCTTTGAATAGTGTTTGCAGTTCTGGTTGCCCCATCTCCAAAAAGATATATTAGAATTGGAAAAAAATACAGAGAACAGTAACAAAAATGTTTAGGAGTATGAAACTGCTTCCATCTGAGGAGAGATTAGAAAAACTGGAACTGTTCAGTTTCGGAGATGACTACGGTGGAGGGGGGTATGATAGAGGTCTATAAAATCATGAATGGTGTGGAAAAGTGAATAACGAAGTGTTACTTACCCCTTCACATAACACAAGGGTCTTGTGTGTGCTTGCTGTGGAACTGCTTCCTGAAATGAAGAGCTTCTGGCAGCACAAGCACTACCTTCCAGGCCTCCATAGTCCTCATTCTCTCTGTACAGGTAGCAAGATGCACACACCAACCCCTGAATACTTGGAACATTCCCTGTGTCCAGACCAGGGGTTCTCAAACTGGGGTTCATGACCCCTCAGGGGGTTGTGAGGTTATTACCTGGGGGGTCGCGAGTTGTCAGCCTCCACCCCAAACCCCGCTTCAGCTCCAGCATTTATAATAGTGTTAAATATTTTTACAAGTGTTTTTAATTTATAAGGGGGGGGTCGCACTCAGAAGCTTGCTCTGTGAAAGGGGTCACCAGTACAAAAGTTTGCGAACCACTGGTCCAGACCTTTATCCACTGAACACTCATGCACTGGGCCTGATATTCTCAAAGGAACAGTACACACCAGGTTGTAAGATTCAACTCAAGACCAGCACTTAGATACACTTACAGTGAAAACAAGAATAAGTTTATTATCAAAGACCAGTGATGCACATGAGAGTGAAGAAGGATATTGGAAACAAATGGTTACATATAAAACAAAATCATAACATCACTATCTAGAGACAAAACTTAACTAACTGGTTAACCTCCTATCTAAAGAATTTTCTCTCGCCCAAAGTCCTGTTCATTGTTTTCAACCAAGATTGGCTGAGCCCCTCCTTCTATGAAAACAAACACACTGTCTGTTTAGTTTGTAGGTGCAGGATGCCACAGTGCCCTCTTTGCCATCTAGAAATACCTCCAACGTTCATTGTCTTTACTCATAAAGAAGCTAAACCCCTGTTGAATTCATATCTCTTCATAAATGTTTGACTTCATTTGTAAATGGGCATCCATTGTGTTAGCTTAAAATGCTTAATTTATATCCCAACAGAGAGATATATGTTCCTTATCTCCTGTCTGGAGGAATCTGTCTAATTGTCATCTTTTGGTGAACTGCTTTTAACTTACATGCTTAAGAACATAATTTTCTAATACATATACGTAACTCCTTGCATAGTACATGTACATACTTTTTACAATGATATTGATGATTTTGCTGCAGTCTTTGCTAGTTGGATCTCCTCCTCTTCTCATGGCTGATATTAAGCCCTGCAGTCCTGCACCTTTACAACTCATGCCCTAACCCTAATCCTGGAGGCCAAATTTAGGCTGCTCCTGGAGGCCAAATTTAGGCTATTAGGGAAGAGACTGAAATCCAGGCCCTCTATGGTGGCATTCTCAGAAATGCTCCCAGTTCCACGCGCAGGACCAGGTAGGCAGTCAGAGCTTCAGAGTCTCAATGCGTGGATGAGATGATGGTGTAGAGAGGAGGGGTTTACATTCATTAGGAGCTGGGGAAACTTTTGGGATGGGGGGAGCCTATACAGGAGAGATGGGCTCCACCTAAACCAAAGTGGAACCAGACTGCTGGCACTAAACATTAAAAAGGTTGTAGAGCAGTTTTTAAACTAGGAGATGGGGGAAAGCCGACTGCTGCAGAGGAGCATGTGGATCGGACAGAGACTTCTCTTAGGGGAGAGTCTAATGATAGAGAATCTCCAGGTTATAGTCAGGAGCAGAGGAAGGAAGAGGATAATATAAGGGCCAGATCAGATGATAAACATTCACATAAAAAAGAATCTGATACATCAGAAAAGGGCA